CATTGTGTATATACTAAAAATTGCATGATGCCTGAAATATATATGAAAACTAAAATATAATAATATGTAAGGTCGGGAAGCCACGATCTGTCTGAAATAACACAGGGAAATGTTACAGAATTGTGAGAAAATCATCTCGACATCTTGTGCGTGCTTAGCAAGGGTATTTGATAAAGGAATGCTCTGAAGGGGTTACAGTGGTTAATGATGTACTTGATGATTTGTGGCATCATAAGCTCTGTGAAAGCGCAGAGAAGTCTACGCACGTGTACGTGTTGGCCACTGGATGTTATTGTTGGTCAGGTGTTCCCTGGTTACAAAAAAAAGTGATAGTACATGTTTTTTAAAGGCAATTTCTGGAATAAATATATCAAATAGCCATAATGTGTATTTAATTAGATGATATTTTAGTAGTCATTGTTGCTGGTATCTAAACGCATTTACTTTCATTACACTTGCAAAAACTAGTCCGGTGTTCATCCACTGTTGGATGAAGGTCTCCCAACACCATGGCAGTCATGGGCAGTTGATTGAAAATACTTCATTGTCAGTGCAGGTTGAAGGGACATTATACATTCTAGATTTGAAGTTTTCGTGACTGCAGAGATCCATACTTCTTCTTGGTTCTTTCGGTGAAATCACGTAGAAGGAAAATAATAAAATAATAGAAATTTATATCTTATTTTATTACGTGTTATTTTTATTATATTTTTATTATTTTCCTTCTACGTGACTTTACCGAAAGAACCAAGAAGATGAATCCCTGCAGTCACGAAAGCTTTAAATCGAAAGAGATCCATACTCTTTGGTTCTTTCGGTAAAGTCACGTAGCTTTAAAATTAAATAAATTATTTTTTCTTTTTTTCATTTTATACGTCACAAAATTACCAACGAGTATGGCATAATCCATGTACGTGCAATCTCGTTTAATTAACATGAGAAAAGTGTTACTTAGTTTTCTTTTATGTTATATTATGTATACATGGAAAACACAGAAGCAACATTCTCACAGAGTGCGCACACAAAAACAGACATATTAAAAGACAGCTAACAACTCATACATTTCTCGACTTGATGGGCCTTAAATGTGAACATAAATAAAACTCTAAAGATGCTGTTGGGTAGGCAATTACGCAAACCCTTGTCATCTTGCTGTTGGCGTTCCATCCGCCGGTTTAATATGTCCTACTCTCCCTGTAATGGCCAGGAGCTCGCCTTACTGCTTGAGTGCCCGTGGTATAATGGGAATTCACCTTGAATGAAGGTGCGGTGTGACGTACGCCACACCACCGTTGTACATTTGTGTTTAAAATTTTAATTGGCGCATTCATTTGCCACGTGGCTGGGAAACCAAAGATGCGTCAGTAATTGTGATGCAGTGCAACTTGCACGCCATTCGAGTCGGTGGCGCTACTTGTCGAGTGTGCTAGCGATGCAACTGCATCAAGGTTCTTGGGCCGGAGGGACCAAGACACCGGACTATAATGAGGGGTAAATTGGACATGGGGGCCCCATTCATCCCTTGCACAAGGGCCCAAACCGACTGCTATACCACTGTGTACATTTGACATGCTTCCGTGTTTTTTTCCAGGAGGTCCACGCACCAAATGGACGCCCACACACATATTCCATGCTTACAATATGCACAATGGAGGTGTAAACATTGTTCAATCTGAACAAAGCATTGTGGCTTGGTGGTCATTGTGTAAGCGCTTGTGAGTTGATGTGTATAAGTACAAAACTCTCTTTGTATGTGAATGTGATGACAGAGAAAGAGTAAAATTTCGATTTAAAGCTTTCGTGACTGCAGGGATTCATATTCTTGGTTCTTTCGGTAAAGTCACGTAGAAGGGAAATAATAAAATAATAAAAATAAAACATAATGTAATTAAATTCTCACGACGTTTCGGTCATAACACAAGCAGCCATCCTCAGGTGAAAAAAGAGAGCTGTCGGAAAGACAGCGTCCCAATGAACACTGCAAAGCTTGGCAGCGCATTTTTAAGCTGGGTGGGAGGAGCAGAGCGCCTTGACAAAGGAGTTTACATATCAACAGAGGAATTTCGCATATTAACGCTAAAGAACTGCAATTACCACTACTACCATACAATAAACCGATGTGAAAAAACTAAATATAAACTACATCAATTTAATCAATGTACTCAATATACTTTCCAATAAGCTGAGCTATTCACATTAAGTAACTGGGTATACATACACTACACTATATAATGAATACCATATAGTGAACCGATAAAAAAACTAAAATTTAAACTACATCAATATAATCAATATACTCAATATACTCTCCATATACATTGTTGGCTCCATGCCGCTGCTAGGATTGTCGTTTCCTCTACCTGTGACTTTATCTTGAACTGGAATGTAGTCTCTTGTGAATCGCACCACCTGCACAAATGCTACACTCGTGTCTCCCAATCCCTCGTGGTGTAACGACGCATCATCAATGGCAGAGCCAGTGGGGGGGGGGGGGGGTGGCACATGCCTCCCCAATGATCTTTGGGGTTTATTAGTAATAAATCGGCATTTTGCGACCCCCACTGCCACTGTGTAGCATATTATTACGTGCCAGGGACTCTGAGATGATAGGACAATAGTCTGAATCCATAATTGTCAATAAGTAACGGCAAAGCAGTTATAAGTGACTCACATAATTGTGCGCAGTTGCACATATCTTCAGCGAGCGCGATGCTGATCACACACGGTTCGAATTCGACCCTCGATCGATGGCTGCGCCATCGCCGCACACGCGTCGAATAAAAAGCAAGGGACAAGTCCTTACTTACTAACAACTCTTCTATCATTTTTCATTGCTGGAGGGGTTGCCCCCCCAACCTGGAAATCCTGGCTCCGTCATTGTCATTCCACCAAATAATATTGATTCTTAAGCCTATGTTGCAAGCGTTAAATTGTGCTTTTTTACTGTAATAGTTTAATTATGAAAACTGGTATCTCCATTGAATAATATAATTTCCCATTACTTTGCTGATCGAAACATGTTTTCATTTTGACATTGTTTAATGGCATTGTATTTCCTTCCATTTTTATTCTTGCTAAAAATAAAATATAAACATTTCAGATGCTACCATTCTTACAGCTCGACAATAACATGTTAATCATTTAAGCTGTGATGCCACTGAAAACAATTTCAATTTAAATGCGGCAGCTGCTGCCCGGCAATCAAGCACACTGAGCTGGGAGTCGCAGGGAAGCTCGTCTTACTGCCTACGTTTTTGCGGGTGTGCTGCGTAGCCTTCAAACATGTTTCAGGTCACACATGGCATAATGTCTGACATTTTGCACCACGTCCTGGGATCTTCTTCAGGAACTATTAGTCATCTGCGTGCTCCCAACACATCGCGAAACGTCGAACATCGTGCGGAAACACATCGGAGAGCCGTAGAAGCCCTCTTATTGAAAAATTATAATACTCCGATTGCTGTTCCTGCTGTTGTGGAGTGACTCATGCAGCCAGCTATGGCTACAGGGTTTTGGTGGTACATGTTGTTTATGTCATTTATTGTGAAAATTCCGTCACAGTTCCTATGATCACTGTTTCATTGCTTCCATGGCTTTATTTTGGTGATTTCGAAAAGTTTATTCGTTTAGCCATGTTTGTTTGTTGTAGTACGGAGTAAGACTGATGGCCTTAATCTGAGTTGTCTTGTGGTTGTTTGACTTGCATCCCACTGGGATTTTTGCACACAGCGTTGGTGTACGGTGTTTTTTCTACAATATTTTGCTGTCTTTTCTTGGATTTTCTGTTTGCACTTGGTCACATATTCACTTTAAGATGTTTTCTTGTTCATGTTTTAGTTTTTTGTTTGTTGCGGTTGCACCCGATTCAAGAGCCGAATGGCTCACAGGGCGATACCTAATAAATTAACTTGAACTATTTGCGACCACCACCAGCCGTCCCAGAGCCCCGTCACGACGTTGCCCGAAACCATTACACCGTGGCCCAGCTATTAAAGGCAGTGGCTTAGAAAGCACTTGAAGAATGGAATGATGACTATTGTCTCTCGTGTTAAAGCTTAGGGGCTTCTGGGGCCACGTGGAGTGGAGCTGTTCAAAGCAGATGGTCATGCAATGCACATCTCTGTGGTTTGTTAAATTTAGTTCTTAAAAGCTCCCCCCCATTTGTCTCCCTATACAGTTCTCAAGAAGAGTGCCTGTTTTTATTTTTATGACACGCTTTTATTTAACTCACTCCGTCTGTTGTATCCTCAAAAAATAAATATTGTAACTAAACTTTTACACACTTCCCAATGTGCTATCGACTGCAAACGTGGTATAGGTGTGTCATACTGATGACAACACGATATTCTATCATAAAAAATCCAAAACATATTTTTAAACTTTTTGCACGCTTTTATTTAACTTGCTGTATGTGTTGTCGTATCCAAAAATCTTGTAACTCAATTTCGACCGTATTCCCAATGTCGTATCGACTGCAAACGTGGTATAGGTATGTCATACTGATGACAATACTATATTCTATCATTGAAAATTAAAATAAATATTTTAAACAATCTTTTTTATGGCTCTAATTGTCGACGCTCAACTCAGGTTGCCTGTAAATCACCACGTGGTCCCTTACGTTACGGCAAGCCTCGGGGAGCCACGCCCAGGGGCGGGGGGTGTGGAAGGAGGGGGAGGGTCGATGGGGGCAGGGAGAGGGGCAGCTCGGATAGTACATTTCATTAAAGTCTGTTTAAAAAAGTGTTCTGACTGCTGATTTCTTGAGGGGGGGTTTAGCTTAATTGCCTCTTAAGATTGTGCACCTCTGCACAAATCCAACACTTGCTGATCGATTGAACTGATTGTGGAGTCCCCAGGCCTTTGTGAAATTGAGTGAATGAGTTCTGGAAGGCGAGCTAAAGTGATTTTTTTTTTTGTGGGCACGTGTTAAGCAAGCGAGAATTGTGTTAAGGACTGTTATGCATTGTGTCTTGATGTCGTGGTCCGTATTTGTGTAGAGGCACGATGAGGAGGCGGTGGTGGATCGCGGAAAGACCAGCACCATTCACACGACCAACTTTGAGAAGGAAGACCTGGATGGTGAGAGCCCACTGTGTGTGTGGCACGTTGGCAGTGGAAAAACAAATCGATCCACCCGGCCAACATAAAAACACCCACTCTCTATCTCGCTCGTTATGTTTAAACATGAGTACCCCTGGACTTTGGAAGAGATATAAGTGGCAGTACAGCAGGCAAGTTGCTTATCTGTGTGGTGTGTAAAATAATATCCTCTTTTTAATTGCATTACTCCACTGTATGCTCGTATGCACATTATTCCATAATGGGCTGGTGAAACGTTATGTGGGGCATTGCAAAGGCTTTTAAGACCCAATGTAGCTTTTCTAGAAACAAAAAGGACAGTATAATTATATTGATGTCAAATTCATCGTATAATAGGTTACATCTTTTATAACCTTTTATAGGGGCGCCACGGTGGCAAGACGTTAACTTCCTCCTTGCCTGGTATACAGGTCATGGGTTCAATCCTGACCCTGACGCCTACATATTTGGAGTTTATATTTTCTCCCCAAGATAGCTTTTCGAGTATTTGACTACTATAAAAATTCCCACATGATAAGCCACTTCATTGAGCTACCATTTGTGAACAAGTTGCTTCTGAAAAAGAACTATATTGCTCAGTGGGCCTTACCTGGTAAAATAAAACATTGTTTAGTTTAAATAACGTGATATAAAAAACATGCATATAGCATATGTGACAGTTGTGACATAGTGGCAGTCCTGATGAGTGTGGCTCATAATACAACTAAAAATAGAGAATTCTATCCATGCAGTAGTATGATAGAGAGTACATTGCGTTTCTACCATATCTCTAATCGAAGGGTCATTTCAAGGCACCTTGCCATGGAAATGAAGCAGTCTTCGACACATGTTATGCTGTGTTCCAACTATTGATTGTACATATGTATGCGGCTGACTTACACTATACAAGTGACTTCAGAAGTAGTTCTGTAATGTCATCTTTCAGAGCTGTGCTTTGGGAGACTTTACATTGCTAGCAGCAGAGTTCTGAATATGTTGCCAGTAATGATTTTAACATAATTGGGGTGGCGCGAAAAGGTAAAAAGATGAATTCGTTTTTGCCATTGCAATGTGTGTAGAACTTTTGGTGGGTGCAGGGTTTTTGTAAACCAATGACGTACAACATCTACCAATAAGACTTACGCAGTTCTGACATACACAATGAAGTACCCTGTTTGCCCGTTTTAACATCTCCATTTTTTTTCATGGCCACCTTGACGAGGTCGATCTTGTTACCTGCTGTTCGATGCTTGTGTCGTAAGCTTAAGAATATTTTAATTGAGCAATTGATATGGAGTTATAGTTGATTGCCCGGTATACAGTTTGCTACATTCAGAAAGTAAAAAATGCAGTTGAGGTATAAACTAAATGTGATATTTATAATATCTTCACAGTTATGTAAGACATTGGCTGTTAATGTTAACGTCATTAAGTACTTCCTAAAAATAAATCTGATTAATTGTCCTGACCAGTGCTGATATCCGAGCTTGATGAACGATGCCAGTGAGCTATTTATTCTATGGGGGTACTCCAGTACAGCCTCTTGAATGATACGGTATCTCCCAGCCCTTTCACAACTGGCACTTTAAGTACGTAGCCCTGTTGTTTATGTTCGACAGTTCGTACACGAAGTATATCCAATTCCTGCATGAGAGCATAAAAATAACGCAGCGCCTGCCATCCAGAGAGCATAGACCTTAAGCCAATATTAAACATTGCAAACGACTTGGCAGAAAGAAAACGCCTTTAAATGTTTTCATTCCCATGTCAAATTAATTTGTCATTTGAACAGTAATGGTTCCACCTTTGCTGGTCTGTTACTGCATAAGGCAACATTGTGAGCTTTGTTATTCGACAAAGCAAGTGTAGCGGTATATTTGGTTCCCCCAGAAGTCAGATGTATGTAATTCTAGTTAGTCTTGGAGGATGGTTGAGACACAAGCTTCACATTCATGAATGCTGTAGTTTAAATTGTAACATATGCAGCTGGACCACTTTTAACACTCAAAACCAGTATTAATTAAACCTAGTATTAATTGAAGCATTGAGAACAAGATGTGTCTTGCAGAGCAGACGTGATGACCTCTGCTATGCCATATGTGGTACTGTGCATGGTGTGCTGTGTGCGCTGCATGATGGGCATCATCCAGTACACATTGTGCTGTATGCTGTGTGATGTGTTGTGTGCAGTTTTCATTGTGTTGTGTGCTATGTGTGATATGTTGTGTGTGCAGTACACATAGCAAAAAAAAACCTCATACAATGTAACTGGTGTTTGCGAAATATCCCAATGCAGAAATATTGTCCTGAGACTCGGTGAGGATTTCCAGTGTGGCCAAGAATACAAATAATCATAAATAGGTGCCCCAACAGCCTATAAGGCTTCATGGTAAATCTTGGTCTATGTGTGCTCATGTATGCTTGTTATATGTGTGGGGAGCGGTAGTGTAGCGGTTAGCGTGCTGCGCTACAAACCTAGCGACCCGTATTCGATTCCCATTCACGGCCAACACCAGTAACGATTATCTGAACTGGTCTTGGGCCTCACCTAAGTCGACTCGGCCTCAAATGACTACCTGGTGAGGTGTGTAAACATCGCCACTAGGGAGACAAAGGCGGCTGGGTGTGGTGCTGGCCACCCACCCCTTGTGTGCCGTGCCGGCATTCATAGGTGTTCGCGAACAGCACTTGCCCCGCCAGTTTGTTAAGGCTACATGGGGGATCTTTGTCTTTGTTTTTTTCAGTACACATTGTGTTGTGTGCTAATCGTGATGAGTATCATGCACATTGTGTGCTTTGCGTGATGGGTTGAGCGCACATTGCGTTGTGGTGTGCTGTTTGATTCGCTCCGTGTGCCGCGTATGCTGTTTGTGTGCGAGCAGCTCACCGGACTGTGTATATCGGCCTGCACGTGCCCTCGGGCAGACGCAGTCACCGGCGTCACCGACATCGGGGCCACCGGCACCACCACCGGCGACGGGAACGCGAGCGGGAGGCGAGCCAGGATGACGCCGAGTCATCTGCTTATGGTGCAGGAACATCCTTATAACTCTTTGACGTGTGTCTCCCTGACTCGCATTCTTATAGCTCGTGTGTCTCTCTTATTCATGACAATTTTGGCTATGAATGGGCCCTCTACCACTTTGGCATGTTATCTCATCAATGCAGAACCCAAATGTCATTAAATGAGGTTCGCGCCAATTTTAAGGAACATGAAAGACCACTATTTGAAGTAAAGCTTCTGTTTGTATTGATGTGATATAAACAGAAATAACTTTGAAGATTTATGCACATTCAAATTATTTAACTACCTTTGAGCAGATGTTCAAATAATTTCAGGCTGTGCCTGTGTGTAATTGATATACATCACCGCAAATTGTCAAGCCTCAGTGGAAACAAAACTGCCACCGCATTTGGAGTGATGTATTTTTTATTTTTTTTCTGATTATTTATGTCTGTCTTGTGTATTGTACTCTATTGTGATGTTTACTATCTCCCAAGATTATTTTCGCTATTATATTTCATGAATAACATTTTATTCATCCAAGTTTCTGCTAATTGCCAATATAACATTTTCTATATCCTCCAGGATATTATTAGGTTTGGCTGGTTGGGATATACTCTATGTATGAATGTCATTTCTGTATTTGCCTTTATTATATAGAAGCTTAACAATAAACTTTTCATTTTATTTATACGGATAATCTCACTGCCTATGTAAAACCACCAAAAACAAAGATAGTTTGCAAAATTACATTGATCCACACTGAATGGTACTGCTCGTTTAAGGTACAGTAGGCCACGTGGTGGCATGGGGTTACAATATCACGCGACGGGTGTTTCACAGAGCTGCCAACTATACTAGGTTGTAAATATTATTTTGGCTCATGCCATGAGTTTTTGTTATCAAAACATTTCAAGGTCAAAATAGTTGCGTGCTACATAGGCGCCAATGGTCCGCTACCCATTTTCTATACGCCAAGGTATCCACGAACTGAGAACCTAAAAAAGTGTTAGCGGTGTCCGTTATGATGGAGAGTGTGAATTTTTTCGAGCCCTGTTGTGCAGCCGCTGGTCTAGGCCACTCGGCGGCTCCTTGTGTGGGGGCGACGCAAGCGCAGCTGTACTCCGTTCGGTGGAGCTGTCATCAGGAGAGACAGGAATGAGAGCCACAGGCAGTGAGATGAATGTAGTGAGGACCTTAAGGTGTTCTGCAGCAGAGAAAGGGCATTTGCTCACCTAAGGGTATCGTGTAATTGCATCGATGGTTTGTGAAATATAGCCGAAGATCAGTTATTGCATTTTGGTTGTGTGCAGAAAAAAAGTCCTTGTTGCAATCTGCAATGGGGAAAAAATGTGTAGATAAGTAAATGCTTTGGAGAGAGCTTAATAATAAGCTTTCATGTTTTATTTAAATTCATTTTATTTTCATATTATTGGCTTTGAGTAAATATAACATTGGGGTTTTTTTAATGGTATTTTCAGGACATATACAAGTATGAGCTAGCCTGATGTCATTTTTAAGTTCATGTGACAGAGTAATCTTTTCCACCTAGTTACTTCAATTAACAATAACATGAAAAGATGTCATTAAATTCAATTCAGTCTGTTTATTTTGATAATATTTTGATACTCAGGGACACTCCTAAAATTAAGCTATTGTTCATAGAACAGATAAGAACCCTTTTTATATTTTATAGCACATCAAATGTTTCCCCTAATAATTATCACATTATTTTATGGGAAGCTCAACAATTGCATGTTGCACATTCTTTAAGCTGTCAATCTGGTACCAATGATATCATATTTGTTAAAATATTCTGTATCGCCTTGTAAAATATTAAACTTGTACACAAACAAACAAACGGAGATATTCGTATGGTAAAAACGCATTTATTCATAACATACATGCAAGTATATCATCAAAGTTAAATGTATACCCACTGTTGCGTGGGATTTGTGTTCAAACAGAATAAATGTACCCCAGTGGGAGATGCTGGTAGAGACCCATGATGGCACAATCGGAAGATCGTTAGATAAAATCGCAGTTTGGGGTTTAACTCAGTCCATCATCCCTGCAGAGTTGACAAAATTAGTTGGAACTACTTTGTGGGATTTTAACAGTGATTGACCTCTGTTAATTTGTCTGGCTGCTAATATAGGAATGTGGAATTTCCACCACTATTGTGGTGGTCCCAATTGGAGACGAGCACTGTCCTAATGTTATTTTGCATAGGGAGTCTCCTTTAGCTTTGACTCGTTTTGAGCGTGAGCATCTGGACAGTGGGCTAACGAGAGCTGGTGCCTGTGTGCGGCGCCGTATAGATACGCCGTCGCAGCGTGTGCAGTTCATCCTGGGGACAGAGGATGATGACGAGGAGCATATCCCTCACGACCTTTTCACCGAGATGGACGAGATCTGCATGCGCGACGGAGACGAGAGCGAATGGAGGGAGACTGCCCGGTACCACTCTCACTGCGTGTCTTCCCTTATTGCCTAACATGACTAATGGGTCAGAGAAAACATTTTGTAAAAAATCAAACCAGGTGTTTACGGGTCCCTTGCTGATTTGTCTGCTTTATGGGCATGATTAGCACGGTTGGCTACGTACGGTGCGAAGGAAGTTCAATATGCATACATATATTGTTGCTGGCGGTGTGCTGCAATTTTGCTCCGCTCTACCCTCCTTTTGAAGGTGGTTGAAGTTTGAGGAAGACGTGGAGGATGGTGGGGAGCGCTGGAGCAAGCCCTACGTGGCCACCCTGTCGCTGCACAGCCTCTTCGAGTTGCGCAGCTGCATCATGAGCGGCACGGTCATGCTCGACATGAAGGCCAGCACACTGGATGAGATAGCAGGTTGGCTTTCCAAGTATCCACCCCTTTGGATTAATTTGAGTTCGAAAATCACAGTGGCTTTCTTTTCTATTATATTTATGAATTCATTCACTGTTACACACCAAGAATTTAACAAAAGCTATGTGATGGAATTTTATCTGTGGACTCGTCTTATTTTCTTTACATGATTTGCATTAAGTAGTGAGTTGGAAGTTTTCAAACTAAACTAAGGTTCGGTGTATTTTGGAGATTCGGGAAATGACGGACATTATACAAATTATATATTTAGTTTATGCTGATGAACGTAACGTCTAAAGGCCTGCAATGTAAATAGCCAGTGCCTTACTACTCATCTTTGTTGGTGATCCTGAGTCGGCACAAAGCTGCACTCAACTTCTCGACTTTGGAGAAATTATAGTTGAATTATTACTCCCTTACCAGGATTTGAATTTATGCTCTTTTGATTTTAAGGGGAGTGCTCTGCCACAACACCTGGTCGAATGTTTAGTTTTGATCCGCTCAGTGAAAATATTGTAACGCTACGTCTATTTTATTTACTGATGAGACTTGCCGCAAAACTGTTTTGTCTTTCAAGAGGAACATTGTCAATTACGGTATAAGGCAAGCTGGTGGCACCCTCCTTCCTTATAACATGAGGCAGATAATACTGGTAGGAACCTCCTGGTTACACCAGCCCACAGGGGATTATTGTGTCCGTCCGTCGTGCAGGGAGGGGCTGGGTGGGGAGGGAGGGGCTGGGTGGGGAGGGTGGGGAGGGGCTGGGTGGGGAGGGTGGGGCTGGGTGGGGAGGGGAGGGGCTGGGTGGGGAGCGTGGGGCTGGGTGGGGGGTGGGAGGGGTGGGGCTGGGTGGGGAGGGGCTGGTCACCCCGTGTTGCCCTTATAAAACTCAACGTTTAACCTACTCACACCGGCTTGTGCCCGCCCTCACAGTCGGCCATATTTGCGGAATACACCACGCCGCCGTTGACCCTGGCCATTGACCGAGCAACCCAACGTTCCTACCAGCTCCCTCCGCAGGAATTTGTTTAATTCCCATAGCAATGAGCAGAGTTTTGGAAGTGGGGGTGCTCCTGCCAGCACACACTATAGACACTCGTTTGTTAACCCGTATGATCTGGGTCTGTCCTGTCACCTGTCATTGAGCCTTTGCTTACATCATGTAAGTCTGGCACAAACGCTGGTGGCTTCACAATTTAGTGACACCTAAGAGTTATTTCAAGGTTGCTTGGGGTACAAAAACAACATTTTTTTATCACATCTTTAATAGTATAGGAAATGTATTAATGTACATTTATAATACTACTGTTAATAAATTAACATGGCATTTTGGTAAAATCAACATTGTTTATTGTCAGAAGAATTAATTTGTATTATGAGTTCCGGAGTTTTTTTGTGTGCATAATTTTCCCAGGCTTAAACTAATCCCATTTTAGCTTTTGATGTCACTTGCAGGGCAGCGGGTTACACTCAAAACTCCTCGCAGTATACCACCACTAATACCACAAATAACCAAACAATATTATTTTTACTCTTTGTTTTTTTTGATAAAGTCAATAAATGAAAACAACGTTTCGGGCGCAACACAAGCGTCCTTCTTCAGGTGTTGCGCCCGAAACATCGTGATTTAATTTAGTTGTTTTCATTTATTTTTCGATTTAAAGCTTTCGTGACTGCAGGGATTCATCTTCTTGGTTCTTTCGGTAAAGTCACGTAGAAGGGAAGCATTTCAGAATCAGAATATTTATTTACACTGGAGGAATCCAATGAGTTATAAATCTCTTTTTCACAGATGTCCCCATAAGCAACATCCTTAAGCTCTCACTCGTGTTAGTAAACCCTCAGACAATTGCCGGTCACTTCAGCTATCATAGAGAACACATCCGCCAAGGAGATGAAGCGATGAAATTCGTTTTTAATACAGGTGCTAGGTGGATTATTACACCTCAGGATTGTAAGGTGGTGGCTGGCGGCTTGAGGGGAGACCTTAATCCAGCAGTGGAGAGACCACGGCTGATGATTATGATGAGGTTGTCTAACTGGCATGACGCACTTCCCTTGCCTGCGGGGCACGGCATTGGTCGCATCCGGTCGTTAGGTGTGTTTACTTGACGCGTGGCTGGCGTGCTGTCTTCATCCTGTGCAGTACGCATTCATTGGCGGTGCGGTCGTGGGTTTACAAATGAAAGTGTGCGCACGGCAGGCTCTGATGCAGTTCTGACAGTGGTAATAACGTCACGACCTCGGCATGATGAGATGCAGTTGCATGTCAGGGAGGCAGACGATTGCCTAAAACCTAAATAAATATTCCGAAAGACTTCCGTTGCCTCATCTTCTGTGCGGTTTAGTAATTATAATAAGTGCACAAGTAAATAAACATGTATTTCATTTATGCTGATTGATAAACCTTTCCAGGGAAACTAATAACATTACTGTAGTACTGTACGTGTTCACCCAGACTCTTTGCACTTTCTCTGGGGGGGTGGTCCTGCTTAAAATATTTGTCAAATTTATTTTTGAGCATTCTTTTCTGTTTGGGAAGAAATCGGAGTACCAAGAGAAAACCCACACATGCAAGTAGATGACATTCAAAGGTCACACAGACAGTTCAATAGCCAGTGTGCTATACTCCCTGTTTGCAGCAGTCTTGCTGCCCTGACATTGGGGAAAACCCATGCAGATGGTTTTGATGTGATCTTCACAACAGATACATGACTGCTCTGAAGAGGGAGCATTGTGTTAAATGTTATCCCGTTTGCGTATTATGAGAAGAAAATTTGTAAACAATGTATATTACCTCCTATAACCCGGATCAGACAGATGGACATTGACAAAGAAAATGGGAGAAAAATGGAAAAGTGAGCAAAAGAAGGATGTTAACACTCATTAATTGGCCTATACCACGTTAATATATAGGGGACGTGCAGAGCTTGGCGCCAGCTTGTGTCGCATGTTGAAATTATTATAAGAGATTCATTTTTTAATTGACATTGTGGGATGGGAATCGCAGCACACGTATCCAGAGAAGATATGCACGGTACAGGCATTATATTGACTGTTAAGAAGAATTAGTGGGCTTGGGCAAGATGCTTCGTATAAAAATGATGGCCGGCGGTCGAGACTAATGCCAACCAAGAGAGGTAACGTGCAATAGCTGTAGTGATGACATTGGCTTTTACAGGAGTTAGTTGGATTTTTTCATTGCGAGATTGAGAGATGCCAATAGATTATGCATGTCTTCATCCAGGAGTGGATAGATCATGGTTGGCTCGGATAATGATGAGGTAATTTATGTACCACTGAGAGATGCCAATAGATTATGCATGTCTTCATCCAGGAGTGGATAGATCATGGTTGGCTCGGATAATGATGAGGTAATTTATGTACCTATATATACCCTCTGAGTTTGTGTTGCTCCACGTGCCCTACTTTGACTGTTAGAGCTTCAGTTATCTCCTTAAGAGGACAACCAAGGTGATAAGTGGGTGAATTCAACGTGGGCAACAAGCCACTGTTTACTCACTGTACTACGAATTCCAGACAAGCTACAGGCTGGATTTTAAGCAGCTTAAGTTTCAGCCAGCTTAGTCATGCTGCTAGAACGTTTTACTCGTGAAAGTTTTTGATTGTTACGGTTTAATTTCCAGAGTTCTTGACTTACATTTGAAAGGTTGTGCGAGTTTAATTTCCAGCCAGCTTTTCGACTTGATACATTATCTCTTTCGGGGTATATAAATCGAGTTCTGCTTCGTCAAAATTCAACAGCGGTTATGGTACAGAGAGATTTGCCCCCACCATAAGAATGTGTAATTTTCACCACTGGTTCAGGGGCGCCAACGCAGATGAGTCAGCAACACAGCTAAGTAATTTGAGTAAGAAAACGCCAAAAGAAGTTGACCTTGCCAAGGCAAATGCATATATTATATGCCCAGGCCCTTAGGCCATTTCAAACATGAGGGTTAGATCACTGCTTTTTTAAATGTTTGTTCTATACACCTGGGAACGTTTGTACAATGAGAAGCCACTGTAAACACTCACTATTTACTACAATCTTAGGACTGCACCTAACATCAATATGATTGCATATGTGTTTACACAGGTATTGTTTCGGATGTTTGGCTGGCACAACTGCATGCCAAGAATGTCTGGTGATTGGACCCATGCCTGTGGGCCTTTGCCAGTCTTCTGAAAGGCACTTGCCACTGCCCACTTTGTCTCTTCACACTCTGCTAATCTGCTGTTTACTTCTCTGCGCTGAAACAAAGTGTCATCAGATGCACGTGTTGCAGAACAAAGCCACAGCAGCTGGCTGGCTCATGCCGCATCACCCTCCAGTGTGGTGATTGGTCCAGTTAGCACGAAGTAATTCTTAATTTGATCGATTTTAAATCGATTCTTACACTCCTTATAATACATCAAATCACATTTAAGATTTTATGGTTTTCTTATGTATGTGTAGTGACATCGGGGATGTCACTGTATGGTGCCGGCCCGAGAGGGCCGTGGCGTGCGATGTCCCTACATCGTGACAGCACCGGGTGGGTTGCTGTATGAGGCCGGCTCTAGCACATCACGGCGTGCGATGCACTGTCATCACGTACACCCCGTAGGCGGGTGTAGTGCCAGCCCTAGCGGGGCTTAGTGAGCGCTGGGATAGCGCGGGCACCACGCACAGCGTGTAGTGCGGGCTCCCACAAGGGGGAGCGGGAGAGTGTCAGCCCAAGGGCAGGGTTGCCCCGGGCCATGGCACTCTAGTTGACCCCGTAGACACGTGGTCCGGAGTGTCCACAGAGGGCCCCAGGTGGGGGGGGGCTAGGGGGTGATCACGTGTCCGGGGAGAGCTCTCGAGAGCTCTCGAGAGGGAGCTAGAAAGCTCGAAGGCTGGCGGGGCCTGGGCGGAGCGGCCCCGACCCGGGAGGATATAAGGTGGGTCCCTAAGAGGGACCGGGGTCGCTGCATTCTACAAGCTGGAAGCTCCACGTCTACAAGCTGGAAGCTCTACGTCCTACGAGGCACCAACATGTGGTCGGGGACCCGAGTGAGGGTCTTATCATTCGTAGCTATAACTCCTACGCATAGAGTAGTTAGCTGGGTGGTCACCACCCTAGGCTGTATCTGGTGAAAGGGCAGTTACCCCTTTGTGTTAACGGCTTGATGTTACAATAAAAGTGTTGCCTTTAAAGAACAACGTCTGTGACTCAGTTGGACTCACTACATATGTATTTTGAACGTATTTCGCACTTTACGTAGCCAACTATGCATATATGCTAAGATGCCTTTAGCCTTCTACAACTATGTAGCAGTAGAACAAGATGAGACAAACTTTGGACACATGACAGCAAATTGAGACAAATTCCTCTTCATTGACGTGTGCAACTAACACCTAAAAATGTATTTAATTGCGGTGGAGGTGAATCGTTTTGTGAGTATAGTCCAAATTAAAATCGCAAGCAATCGCACAGCACAGTAATTAATCTATTTATAGTTGTCTTGATTATCATTTGGCCTCTCCTGTTATACTCTTTTTAACTATGTGGTGCTCTGGTGGCGTTATTTGACTCATCCAAATCAGAGATTGTTTTCAAGTTGATCAAAACGAGTGCTACTTTGTGGCAGGTGAGCAGTTATCTTATTCTAGAGATGGTGATCTCTGCCGCAGAAATGTGGAACATCCACCAGTAGCTCAGGACTGCCGGCAACATGAGCTCCATCAAAACACTCCTTTGGCACTTATAGATAGGTGAGGATAGTTGGGCGGGAAGGCTGGCCCGGGTGAAACAACAACACGGAAAATGCAATCCAACTGTAAATTAGGCTAAACACATGCATTGGTTAACAATGTAGAAGGGGGGTGGAGACACCATTTGTCGTGTTTTTGTTTCTTAAAGTAATCGGTTTGCTTCTCGAGATGTTTGCAGCCACATCGACACCGAGTCGCTAACCCTCGGCAAGTGTTAACAACAAAACCAATGTGCAACCTAAAAATATGTCTTTTTTCACACGCGCGGTTAATGTGCAGCCCGGCTAATCCACTCGCAAATAATAGTTCAGTGTCATATCAGAAACTTGGCTGACACTGCCTCGTGACTGCGTCCCATCCGCCGCCCCGCAGACATGGTCCTGGACAACCAGGTGTCGTCGGGCCTGCTGGACGAGAACGTGCGCGACCGAATGCGCGACGCGCTGCTCAGGAAGCACCGGCACCAGAATGACAGCAAGCTCAGCAACAAGATCCCGATCGTGAGGTCGCTGGCCGACATGGGCAAGAAGTACTCGGATGTTCACGTTCAAGACAAGAATGGTGAGACTTTCTGCCGTTTGATTTTTCCGCTTGGGCTGGGAATCAAAGGGGACGTTGGGCCGCCGGATGCGATTCAAAAGTCACTACCTTGCCCGTCATCTCTGTGGTGCAGGGTACTATGTGTGCCAAGTTTCCCATTGGTGAAAATGTACTTTATCTAGGAAGGTTTAATTACCATTTTGAGGCTCTTTGTCAAGACAGCCCTGTGGGAAGAAACCATGGTGGCCAGAAAACCCTACACATATGACAAGATAGTGCTCAGAATTATATAATGATAGGTCAGCAGTTTGATGTGCTGTACAATCTCTGGTAGAATAGCATGTGAAGTTCACTTTGCTTGCATATGATCTCTAATCAGATCCTAAAGAGTACTGTGGAAATGGAGTTTGGAAAACTGAGACTTTTCTGCCTTTCATTTAAAGTCTCTGGAGTAGACTATCTTGGCTCTACAATTGTATTGTTTATGTGTAGTGTTGTGGATTCGGTAGACGTCGGAGACGGTTCTTGGAGGCAACACTATTTATTAAATCACCTCGCTCGGCAGTACAGCCCCAGAACACTCAGGATTACGGTCCTCCTACACCACTGTCTGGGGAGGTACTGCCTCCGGGCTAACATGCCCTAACACAGGACTACTCTCAGGGTCCTCCGGCTATGGGTGCCTAGGGGGAGGCTATTCTAACTCGCCCTAGCCAGGGTGCAAGTTCCGACCACTGACCCACTGGACCCGGCCCTTACAAGGACGTCAGGCCAGGGGTTCCCAGGGTCTCACCACTGAGCCGCACAGCATCCCGGCCCTGATAAGGACAGCGGGGCCAGGGATCTCCGGGTCCTATCTAGCTGCTCTTCGGCTTCTGTCTTCAACTGGCCCCGAGCCTGTAGAGAGGTCCGCCTTTTATCCACCTCCCAACCGAGGAGCGGGGCCCCGGGGGATCCCAGGACACCCCACAGCCCCCTCCCCCCGGGAAGGGCCTCGGGGGATCCCAGAACACCCCACAGCCCATTTATGCCCCTACATATGTAAGGAAACTCTTTTTAGTGTAACATTTTCTTTAGTTTACATTTTTTTTACACTTGGTAGCATTTATATTTTCGATACTTTCATTGTATCTGACTTGCGAATTTGTGTCGGTGCTTTACCATCTTTCATGTCTGTTCTTCCCAAGTTCCCTTGCTTGTCAGCTCGTATTTCGGTTGCTCGTTAAACTTCGCCGTCTGCCCCCTTCTTTTCTTTTCGCCCGCCCCCCCCTCTGTCGCTGTTCTCTGTGCATTAGACGAAGCGGGCCTCTTAGCCTTTAGACACTCGTCGCTCACTGCGTCTCGCCTCTCCTTGATCCTTGGCTCTCTGAAGCATCACGGCTCGACACCGAGCAGCCCGAGCTCGGCGCCAGGCAGCCCGAGCCCATCGCGTGGTGGCACGCCGCCGGCATCGCCCGCCAGCCACAGTCCACAGTCCCCGTTACTTTCGCCCGACTGGACCGCCAAGACTCTCACTGATAGGGGCCACAAAGAGGGCGGCTTCTTGCCCAGCCACGCTGACGTTGCCCCCCTGGTTTTCACATTTGATAAGATCCCATTGGAAGCTGACAGAGGCGATGGTGGTGAAGGATCCTCTGAGCAGCATGGCCATTTGCCACCTCCCGATCGGTATGGCAGTACTTGTGAGAATTACGACAGCGGTGACTGGAAGTCTCCATTGCCTTCTCCGGTGGACCACATTCCAGATGTCGTTATCCACCCTCCAGAAGAAGATTCTACAAATCGGGAGATGGGTAGGGGAAGCATGGTGGTGGGAGCATGGTGATGCGGTGCTCATATTTAGTAAATTGCCGTGATTCAAGATACTAACACATTCAGTGATTGGTGTGCAATTATCCTGGCTTGGTTAGCTATTTTGTTTTGAACCTAACAACATACTAATATTGTTGGTAATTTGATGTGGGTGTCTTGTGATGATGTTGTTGTGTTTATAAATTAAATACACTCATATGATCAAAACAGACCATGTAAGACTGTGTATAAAAACTCAACTTCTGTAGCCATGCAGAGTGAGATGCTATGAATTCAGAGGCAGGTTGCATCTCACATGTTAACCTTTAAAATATTATTTTCTGAACACATGCCTATTAAACTTTGAGGCAGCAGCTAAAAAACAAACACCATGAAGTGCACGATTTGGGGCCACCGATACAAAGGACCCTGCAGTTGCAACAATTTGGTGTGTACTGCTGAGTCACGGTGGATTATCTTACAATATGCCTGGTGGGTGTATCTGATAGGGCTGGAGCTCCTGTAAAGGGATACGGCGGGAGGGAAGCTTGATCAAAGAGTGGCATTTGGTTAAGGTTTCACGGCAACATGGGAACAGTGTTTGCCTTGTAACTTAAAATGCCAAGCCATGTAGGAAGGTCGGGGAGAGTGGCCAACATGCATCGATTTAGTTTGAAGATTTTGAGTTTTAAAGCTTTTCAATTGATAAGTAAAACAACAGGTAAATGTCGAAGGAATTATTCATAGCGACAGCTTCACCTGAGTGTGCACGTGTGTCACCTTAAATGTGGTAGCATGCCTTTAGAATCTTTGCTAAATCTCCAAACCTTGACTGAACTGCAGAGGGGCAATGCAATGAAATGCCACAATTCAGGGTTGTGATTACTGGACACATGAGAATCGATTTTCTATGCAAATTGTACACAGTTTCCATGCTAGATGAACATTTCAGTTAACAACAAGAACAAACTGATACCAATGAAACTGGAAAAAAACACGAATGAGAAGATAAACAAAAGCTAAACAAAAATAATCAATTCTGAAATGGAATCGCCACAAGGATCATGAGAGGTGGGTGATCGCACGTTTGTCTAACATGACTGAAACGTCCGTTTTGATGGCACTGCCCGCAGGCCACCTCCTGTCTCCTCCGACCGTCCCCGGGCAAACGGACGTGGAGGGCAGACAGCAGGGTGACTGCCGCCAGGGGGTCAGCCGTGATAACAGCAACATGGACTTCAGCAAGGTCAGGACTGGGGGGCCCTGGGGTCAACCCTTGCGGGGTCAACCCTTGTGGGTGCCAGAGTGATTTTATTGGCAGCTGTGGAAGGATGGGATCGGTGTTTGTGGTGGATTAAATTGTGATTTAGGGATACGATGTTGCACGCATTCTTCCGGTTTCAAACAATGGGTCAGATGTTTCCAATGTTTTTTTCAGTTATTGCTAATGATCCATGTTTTTTTTATAACTTTAACATGAGAATACCTGCTTATTTTTCACTCCAGCACTTTTCCCATGTTGTGTCTATAAATGATTGTTTGTCTCGTGATTAACAATAATACGACTTACGCGGCTGTATTGGCAGTGGTGTAAAGCATGGACTAAAACCTTCCTTCATTAATAGTCCTTTACCAAATATATCCAGCTGGCAAGTGTCTGTAGCAACTGTCACCATTCAGAACAAAGCTTAAAAACATTTATTGTCTGATAAAATCTGTACTCTGTACTTATGTTCACAAACACCTTAGGAGGTGAGCTGTTTTCGGCCCGTCATACATATTACTTTACTTCCATTATAGCTTATCATCATTATCACTAAAATCATAACGTTTATTTTCTCTTCTACTTGCGCGTCTTTCTGTTGCTGCTGCTGCTGCTGTTGTTGTGGGTGTCATTTTATCTGGGACATTATCAGCAAGCCGGCGCCGGTTGGCGTTGTGGCTGTGTGATGCCGGACGAGGGAAGGCCATGCCCCGCAGTAAGTCGTTCCTGCGGGGCTCAGCCGCCTCTCGCTCTGTGCGGTGCAGAGGCCGCCCATGCTCCCTCCTGTCGTTTCCACCAGCGCCCATTACCTGTCCTTCACGCAGTGCCCTTACACCACTTCTCTCGTTATTCTTGTCCCCTAGTGCTTCCACTTGTTTTGAAACGGTGGTGTTTGCACGAAACAAACGTCTACTTGTTTGGAGGAACATATGCATTGTGGCATAATGGCATATGTTTCGGACAAGTGGCTTTTTGTTCCGCAAAATTGCACTCCTGGAAAGTGGCTAATGAGTCTTTAATGTGGCGAAAAGAAATTCAGTCTGCTTATTGAATTTCTTTCAGAGGTAGTTACAACTTTAGTGCTTGTTTGAGTGTGGTGTGTAATGTGTTTTTACTCAGGCTAGCTTTTAAGACGCAATCATCTAAAACCTAATTCAGATGTCGGTGTAAATACAACTGACTCACTGCGCGTTATCCAGGTGGACCTGAACTTCATGCGCAAGATCCCCCCGGGGGCGGAGGCCTCCAACGTGCTGGTGGGCGAGGTGGACTTCCTGGAGAGGCCACTCATCGCCTTCGTGCGCCTCTCCCCGGCTGTGCTGCTGACAGGGATAACTGAGGTTCCCATCCCAACCCGGTACGGTAGGAAGCAGAATCTGCAGTGTGAACACGACTGCGTAGGTTTCCGCGGTTGTGCTGTACAGTGCGAAAAGCTGTCGTTCGGCACAATGTCCAACGTTTTTCTCCATGTTGGGAAATGTTCAGATACTAAATAACATGAATAATATAAACATTTAAAGAAAATTATATTATCACACTTAACTTGGACTTCCTGGTGCGTAACAATCTCCGAAGTGTGGAGACGCAGTTTACAAGTCTGTACATTTTTTGGGTTTTGGGAGGGATTTTTCAGTTCGTTTACAATATTTAATCCTGGCGTCACCAAAAAACTCCGGTATATATGTGGGACGGTACATTCACCCATGTTATTTGGAGGACACACTGTACACACCCACCCTGTGTATTCTTTGCGAGACATGCTCACCTCATCCCGTGCTGAGGCTGTACGTTAAGAATAGAACGGCTATGATGATAACTGCTCTCTCCTTGCACTTGAGTTGGCTTAGAGATTCAAGGAACCGTTTTTTTTACAGTGGCTGTAGTCACGTGAATCACGTGCTTTCAACCACAACACCTTTTTATAGCAGGGCCCACCGCTCTATTTGGGTTTCTCAGCCCAGTGGAAAGCTCTACTGTTGTCCTGTGTGATTTAGTTGTCGAATCATGTTTAGAGAAATAATGGCCTCTGGTGCTTACATTTTTTTTATGCAAGAAAAGACATTTATGAGACAACCACAAATGTTAACATCTATATGGGGGAATAGCACACTTTTCAAATATTATGTACATTTACATCATAAGACCTCCTTTGCCAGTAGAAAAATATAATAATAGGTTTTTTACCTTTATCTGGCACAAAACTGACACCTTTTTACAAGGGATCATGTTTGTATTAACCACAATACATGTGGTCAAAATGCAAATAAAAAACAGCACTGAAAATGTATGCATTGTCTTTGAAATTGATTGGTCCACACCAGAGACATCTTCCTTTAGAGCCAGATAAAAGGGTAAAAAACCTATTATTATGTACATTTATGGAGCTGTAAAATCAACTTGTTTCGCAGTTGCCTGGTACATTTGTGCATTGCAGGATAGTGAAAAATTGCAACAGCTTGGGGATGCCTTCAACCAGCAGTTCATGGCTGATGATGATCTTGAATATTTACTATTTAATGTGGAAAGAGCTCCACCCCATGTTTTGTATGAATTTAGACTCTTTATTTTCCTATAATTTCAACAAAATAAAATCCCTCGCCACCGTCACCATTAATTATTCCTTACAATCCTACAGGTTTCTGTTCTTTCTGCTGGGGCCACCAGGCAAGGCCCAGCAGTACCACGAGATCGGCCGGTCCATTGCAACTCTAATGGCCGATGAGGTCAGCCTCAACCTTCATCAACAGTACCATCGTCATCTTTAGGGATTACAGGCATTACAGTGGTAACAAGTTTTCTTGCCATGAAATTGCGGGAGTAATAATGAGATAATGGTTTAATTCTTGAATGCCCATTACCCTGGTTGCCACCGATACACTTGGGCCAAACCCATCCCCAAACCTTTATACATATTTTGCCTTCAGAGGCTAACTCCTTGCGACCGCTTGTGTTGTGATTGAAACGTCGTAGTTTTTTTTGTTATTTTCTTTGAACCTATTTACGTGACTTTACCGAAAGACCGAAAGAATATGATAATGATATTTTTTTATATAGTGCCCAATACCTTAGGGTGTTTCAGAGTGCTTTATATCACATCTCATCTAAAACGTTTGACCCCCATTGGAAGTTGTCCCTTGGTGCTCAGTGATACATCACCTGGCCTGCCAATGAGCATTAGTCTGCCAGTAAGAGACGATTGCTATGTGTATTTCCAATTTTGTAGTTTGCAGATCATTTTGTCAATTTGAACATCGCGCCACTGTGAAGCAGACATTGCATGTTTCCTGTGATTAATACACCCAAAGTAAGCAGCAATAAGTTGTCAACATGTTCTGATTAACTACTTGCTTTCTTTCTATCTATCATCACGATTCCCATTTGCCATCTGATTGATGTTGCGTACTATTGTATCTATGTTTTACAGCCATAGTGAACTATTATGGTTTGAAGTCTCTATGGGGTGGCTAAAAAGTTAGTTTACTGAGAAAATGTTGATGCATGACCTTGCCATTCGGAACTTGACCACGTACAGTTGTTTTGGATTATTTTGTTCACGTTTTTGTTGTTGCTGTAACCAGGTTTCTATGGTGTAACCAGGTCTGCATCGAAATGAGCATTTATTGCCCATAGGGTTTACCTCTGAAAGAATAAAACATAATAATACTTTGTGTCTATCTCAAGAAGCTAACTCTTGGGCCACCCTGTGTGTTACACACTTCTGGATTTCTCCGCAATTACGTACTTTAAAATCTTAATAATAGCAATTCCCTTTTTATCCAAGACACCCTCAATTGTATCTAAATATATTTTTAGAACTGTCCTGCTATCGTTGCAGACCAATATCTGTTTAATAAAATTTGCCATTTGGCCTCAGGAGGTTAGTTCCCAGAGGAAAAAAAATCGTAAAAAATGTAAAACACTCAAGTCTCTATTTGAATAGATCAGCAGCCTACTTGCTGCACTATCATCTAATATACACTTTTCTGTCTAAGCAGGTTGTAAGTACTAGATACATGATGGTGATATCTGCGTAATCCACCAACTTTGCTCTTAAAGTGCTTGATTATAGACCTGTGCCCGCCATGCCATTATATATTTGCTTTGTTGGAATTCACACAATGGTAGTGATTGCATCTTCCCATGACCTCATCAGTCAGGGTCAGGTCAGTGGTGGGAGGGAAGCCTTTGAAAAGTGATCAGCCTTTGATGGTTGATTACCGCAAGCTTTAAAAGAATGTAACGTAATCCTGCATTGGTTAATTCCAATGTAACATAGTCTTGATTGTCTTCATGATTACTTTTTTCATTATTAAAACGAATTCATTTCACCCGAGAAATAATGGCGCAACACCAATTCCATGTAATAATTTCCCAAGTTTACATGTTTCTTTAATTATTTTCCATTTTTTTAAAGCCAAGGTAATCCTAGAGGGGAATCCACCAATACACGCCAAGAAATGCAATATAATTACAAAATTAAAACAAAGTGACCGTACATGCTTACGATGCCAGCTGAACGGTCATCCGATTACAGTGACCAATCGCTCGTAATGCATTACATTACTTCACTTACACTGCACACACACGTGCGCTTTGCTGCTTGGCCTTGCCAGATTTTCCACGACGTCGCCTACAAAGCGAAGGACCGCAATGACCTCCTGGCAGGGATCGACGAGTTCCTGGACCAGGTGACGGTGCTTCCTCCCGGCGAGTGGGATCCCTCCATCCGCATTGAGCCCCCCAAGAGCGTTCCCTCCCAGGTAAATGCCCCCCCCCCCCACCATACTCACACCACAGTTGGTATGGGCCCCATACGGCAATCAAGCTGGAGAAGGAACTTTACCCAGATATTTCAGATCCCCACCGCTTGAGGTAATATTATTGTTTTATTACTTGGCTGTGCACCTGATATTTGGTGCGTTGCTGTTTCTTCACCTCTGGTACTGTTTCCTATAGTTTCTAATCTCATCCCCTCTGTTTTTATTTTTAATTAAATGACATTTATAAAAGAAAAAATTAGCAGCGCCAGCTGTTGCCGATAGTTTTTTTCTCGAGTCCTTTAGAGAAAAGCTGCTGCTCACTTGTTAAATTATTTTCCTGGCTGGAGCTGGTTGTTTTTAATGTCCATGAGCAGATGGGTTTGTTGAATCCTTGTGGAGTCCTGGACTGGCTCTTGGTGAGTTCATCCTATTAGTCCTGCCTTCATATTTGATGAACACAGCATAGTTCTGTTGGGACAATGGAGGCAGGCGTTCAGGACTTTCCACCAGAGATGCTCTCAGTGGCAAACTGTGAAGTGGCATCTGCCTTAGGCGTTAACGCCAATGTCTTATAGTGACCCTAGAGATGTATATATATTCTTGGTTATTTTGGTAAAGTCACGTAGAAGAACCAAGAATATGAATCCCTGCAGTCACGAAAGCTTTAAATCAAAAGATGTATATATACTCAATGTCGATGTTTATCCTCGTTGTGAGAATTGGTGTATAAACCAACATCACTATTTGGATAAAAGAATTTTTTTGCTGATTTTATTTGTAAAACCAGCAGAAAATAGCCACTATTTGGTTGTTTATTGTCCAAGTATCTGTATCGACTACCTTTCTATCAGTAACTTATATCCTTTGTCTCATACACATTACCTACTATAATCACCCAGAAATGTCTGTCCGTCCCGTGCTTAATGTCACTCCACATGAGGCCCACTGTTGTATGTGTTGTGATTATGAAATTTTGATGAAAATAATAAAAATTAATAATTTTCCGAAAAATGCGCAAATCGCATTAATTATGATAGTGTGTGTATTAATATGCATAAATTATGATAATCGTAGTAATTTATGCGGAGGCTTGCGATTATGTTAATGTGTGCAGTTATGATAATTTGCTTAGTTTCGTTTATCCAGAGTTATCAATCAGGATAACACGATTATCATAGATTCATTTACCGATTATCCTAGTGTGTGTTATAATATTTTAGGTCTCCATTTTCATATCTCATCACAGGATACAGTTGTCAAGAATAAGACAGTTTTGCATGGACTTGGAAGGAACACTCGATATGCTTCTGGATTACAATTTTATTCTAACAAGCACGTGACATTCTATCATGCAGGTCAAACATGCGTCAATAATTCATGGGCAAGATTATGCAATTAACTAATATGAACGACAAAAACTTATGCAGTTGTGACATTATGCAATTATGCAATATGAATAACGAAAACTCTTATGCATTTATGTAACTCGACGGCAGCAACTGCTTTGCACGATCAGTTGATATTGAACGCACCACCTCGAAATGGCAACCCTTTTTGAAACGAAAAGACAGTTTTTCTTTTAAAGTCTTATTCGTGTGCGTGCTGTGTGTGCGTTGTCCCCTCGTAATATTAATTGTGTCGTTAGCTTGTGTGGTGTGGGAGGATACGAACAGCTCCTGCTGCTCCCTCGCTCGGCGTGTCGCTCGGCTTTTGCTCTCTCTCTCTCTCTCCACTGCTGGATTGAGCAGCGTTGGCACGATGTTCCTTGAAGAAACTTGCTTGCTTGGCGCTTGATGGTTCCGGGGCTTGGTGCTGCTCGTGCGCTCTCTCTTTCTACTGCTAGATGACGAGTTGGCACGATGCTGTCCTTGAAGATGCTCGGTCGCTCGTGTCGCTCGGTGTCGCTCGGTGGCGCAAGGTGTCGCTCGTTGTCGCTCGTTCAGCGATCTCCGCCTTTCCTGCGGGTTGTTCGCTGGTCGTCACTCTGACGAGGAGCGATGCTTCGTTCGTGGCAGGGTGGACGTTGGCGTCTTTGTTGGCTTCACTCGCAGCTCTGCGACTCAGGGTAGCGATTCTTCTCAGGTGGTGCAGACCTCGGCTTGTAGCTACGCGTCGCTACTCCGCAAACCTCGTCATTCTGAATGACAGGAGCTTCTTCGTTGGCGGCGACGAGGAGAGATGGAGCCACAGCCCTGGAGATCTGTGATGGGGGCCAGAGCCCCTGTCGATCTGTGGTGGAGCCGAAGATGGGCTCGTAGCCCGGATGATATGTGTGTTGGAGCCGAAGCCCGGACGATATCTGTGATGGAGGCCAGAGCCCCTGTCGATCTGAGTTGTATGGATTTTCCTTCGGTTTATATCGGAAAATTCCACTCGGCTTCCCGAGTTGTTCAAAAGCTGTGTCATAAAACCTTCCTGTGGGGGTGGACCATCTGCGTCCGTGTGTGTGTCCGTCCGTGTGTTTCGCGTGCGTGTTTGTCCGTGTTGTGGGGAGACAAAGGCGGTTGTTTCCACGGTGGGAGCACCCGGCGCATGCGCTTATTTATTCGAAGACGTGTTAATTTCCTTTGAGCCATTGCCCCCTTTATGGGTGTCATTTCCTAGCTTTGTGCCTGCGTGTGGAGATCCTCTCGGAAAGACAAAGGCGGCCGTGTTGCTCGCTTCCCATGGGTTGTTGTGTTTGGTTAATTTTGAGAGCCTTCTCCGCCCTTGATTCCTCTTCTACTTTAATTCCGTACTTATTATTTGACTTCTTGTGATTATTTAATCTGATATCCCGGCTAGGAATTTTGTTTTGGAGCGAAATAGATGCCATAATTATTCTTTGATGCTTCGGCCCGGCCGTGTAGATATTCTTTAAAGGTAAATAATGTCAGTACTTAATTAACAATGATGGGTCGCGATTCTGGTGCAATTTTGTCGTCTGGTTTTCAATTGGAGTGAGGATGGATACTGTTTGCTTAATCTTTATGGTTAAGTTGGTAACTTGTGTATTTAACATGGTTCAAAGACCCATCTGTGCTTTTTGTCGTCGATGCTGTTTCTTTGTTAAGAATATAATTATCTCTTCCTCCGTGTCTCCTGGTTATGCAACCCCCCGCCTGCAATTCCCCCCCTCCCTTGTTCCTCTTGTGTGAATTTAGGGGAGTTTTTTTTTTATTACCTTATTGCCCCCCCTTTCATGTCCTCTCTCCTTTGAAATGAGGTATGCGCGCATCTGTGGAAGTGTGGGGGCCTCTGTGGAAGTGTGGGGGCGTGTTCGTTCCCACGTGGCCGCGTCTATTAAAAAAAACGATATTATCTATGTTGGCAGAATAATTCTTAAAAAAAAAATAATATTAAAAAAAAATAAAAAGGGGGTACATACACAACAGTCCGCCCTTTTGAAAATTATCAGGGGTCGATTTGGCCACTGGCGAATTTTCAAACAAAGTAATGCCCCCTTTTTATGTCATGCATCCCATCAGCCGCCCTTACTCTCGGCGGTTATTTCTTACGACGCGCGTGCACGTATTACGATCTTAACCTGGTTACATCTGAAATAAGCAAAGAAAATAACAACACGTTAACATCGATATTGCGTTACATCGGTTCTCATACATCATAACTCTGACGAACATTCATTTTTGTTTTTGTTAAATCCTGGTTACATTTGAATTAAGCAAAGAAAATAACACACGTTAACATCGATATTGCGTTACATCGGTTCTCATACATCATAACTCTGACGAACATTCATTTTTGTTTTTGTTAAATCCTGGGAAACGCTAGGTAGCGGTTTCGAACGCATTTATGCGTTACCTTCCTCATGTTGCCTGGTTTACCACTTATCACTTTGATAATTTGATCACGGTTTTCGGGTTCGTTTTTGTAGTTTCCTCTCTCACTCTCTCGCGTCGTGGGAGTGTGTGGTGAAAAATTGTGCTGCACGTAACCAGAATTCGCGCACACGACCCACTTTGACACTTGGTTCGTGGCATTCGCTCTCTCTGCGATTACATGCACATTTGCCGAGTCAGTGTGTCGATTTAATTCTGTCCTTCGTAATGTTGCCCTCTTTGTTTTTACGAGTGTGTTGGATTTCAACACCATTCCCGATACGTCATGGACATTCGTCTCCATTTTAGCACTCCGATCCACATAATTTTTGGTTTCCCTTGGATATTTTCCATTCAAAGGCTCACGCCTGCGCTCCTCAGGGCGTGTCTCTGTGTTCTCTCTTTGTCTCTGCTGTCTGCTATCCACCGTCCGATCACACTTCAATTCAGCCCTGTCACTTGCAGCCTGCTCAGGGTTTAACACCTCGGCGGGTGGGGCGCGTGTTGGCCGCTCGCTCGCACTCACTGTGGATGGTTCATCACGTATTTGGACCGCATTCTGTGTTATTCCTCTATTCCCTCTTGGTATAGCCGGTGGAGGAATTGGTCGGAATTGGATCGATTGTGTTTGACCTCCCATCCTGCGATTCTCCTGAATGTTCGCATCCATACCTCCGCGGTCTGTGTAACACCTTCCCGCTAGGTGGTTATCTTGCCATCTCTGTGCGTAATTTGAACCTTGCGTGTGTCGTGGGATGGGGTGTTGATATGGTTCTGCTCTGAACCTCTCCCTCCTGCGATTCTCGTACATTTTTGGCCAAGTATTTCTCCCATTTGGGTGCCACATTTTTCCTGGATTGTTACCTCGCCATCTTTGTGGGTAATTTTGATCTTGTGTGTGTCGTGGCATGGGGTGTTGATATGGTTCTGTTCTGAACCTCTCCCTCCTGCGATTCTCCTGAATGTTCGGCTTTGTGCCGCTCTCATTCTCGTGCCAACCTCTCTCTGGGTTATTTTGCCATGTGTGCGTGCGTTTCTGCTCCGTCCTGCATGGTGGGACTGCTCGGTGATTTTTATTCCTCTCTGAGAGGCTGGGTTCCTCATCCCTCTCCCTGTGTTCTGGATCCGAATTATGATTCTTAGCTCTGTATAACCATGCCATGTACGCCTTGCTCTCTATGC